TTTATTCTATGGCATTTTTAGCGCAAGCAACGTCCCGTCCACATTGGAAATGAACTATAAAACAATATCAATAAATATTATGACTGTCTCTTATACACATCTAGATGTGTATAAGAGACAGCGCAATATGTGTCCAAGCCATTTCCATCTACGAGACATGATTTCTGTACTTATTTTCTTCGAATTTGTTTTCTGTAGAATTACATTATTTTGTACAATGTACGGCCATCTAATTTTGAGGATTCTTCTTAAGCACTTGAACTGGAATGTGTCTAGTTTCAATTCGTCGCTTTGGTTTACTTTCCAGGTCTCACATCCGTATAGTAGAACTAATTGTCGGTCCACTGATGGACAAATGTTTCAGGATGTCGACACCAAATCAATCTTTTTTTTCTGGCTGTGAGAAAATCGATCGCATCTCTCAATCATTTACGTTGTTTTCCCTTGTTCGTTTTGCCATCCATGGAGTCTGTTACTGTTTGTATTTGTTTGTACTCCTGCTGACTACAAGTTCAACAACCAGAATGAAAACGACTGAGCCAAACCTCATTACCATTATTGTTATCAATATTAATAATAATAATAATAATAATAATAATAATAATAATAATAATAATAATAATAATAATAATAATGTTAATATTATTTTATTTATTTGTATTCATTCCCCTCCCACACTAGCCTGGCTAGGCCTTTCTATTACTACCACCACTACCACCACCACCACCACCACCAGTGTGTGGCTTATTTTATGGGTCGATAAAACATGGGTACCGTACGATATCTCGATAATATTTAGCCTAACCCATAACCCTTTTCTGCGTAAGGCACCGTATTTTCGACATTAAATGTGGAATACCCTGGCTTTACTACTTGGCTAGTAGTAGGCCCTAGGTTGTGTTGTCAGTTTCTGTGGTTATCTTTTAGGTCTACGTACGTAGGTACGACAATAGAGCCTATAAATATACTTGTTCGTCACGGGGAATTCCAATTCCCCGTGACGAACACTGATGAACTGGCTGTAAAGATATCCAAAATACTAGGTTCGACCCGCTCGAGTTCTCATTATTTTTCATTCATAACATAGTTTTCCTGTTTCTATTTCATACCCTCTTCGCAGCCGCTGTTTGGTTCCTAAGACAATTTTTGTGGAAATCATACCCTCTTCGCAGCCGCTATTTGGTTCATAAGACGTCTTTTTGGTAACAACTGCGCATGCTCGACATGGCTCGATAACGTCACTTACTCAATGCACATGCTCACTGGCTGTCTAGCATTTCCAAGCGCATGCTCACTTTGTTTTTATAGATAATTCTCGGGCGTTATTTGGTAACTGCGCATGCGCATTGCTTAGTTCGGAATTCCCGTTTCTTTGTAGTAAAAGCTACCGCTACCTACAGTAGTAGTGGTAGTAGTAGTAGTAGTAGTACGGTAGTAACTATAGTACAGTATTTTCTCTTGATCGTTACACAGCCTAAAGGTGCGACGCGAAAAAGTTATAACTTTGTTCATCATTAACCGGGCTGTGTGCCCCATGTAGAGAGACAAGGAAGATATTGCTGCAGTGGCGTATCCGGGGGGAGGGGGTGCTCAGGGTGCTTGAGCACCTCCCCCTCCCCCTTCAGAGGTTGAAAACAATAAAAGTTCTCCTTTCTAAAAGTAAAAAAATAAGCGATATAAATTTTAAGTATTAAAGTGCCATTCCTTGCATCTAAAAGTCCCCAATTCTTAACATTTTTTCACCTCAGACTCAACCATGATGGATGTCACGTGGATATAGTAATTTTCATAAGTTTCTATGTATCAAAGTGCCATTTTCTGGCATCTAAAAGTCTCAAATTCTTACAATTGTCTCCGCCTCAAACATGGTGGGCTAAGTTGGATGGATTGGTAGTTTTCATAAATTTTAAGTCGTTTTCGGGAACATAAAGTCTCAAATTCTCAAAATTTACTGATCTGTACGATTTTTGTAATATTCAAGTGCTATTTTTTGGCATCTCATACGAGCCAAATTCTAAAACTTTTTCTCACATGAGGCCCAACCATGGTGGGGCTCAGTTGGATATGGTATTTTGAGAATTTTTTCGGGTAGGCGTACTTATTAATTAATTCGGTTTTTTTGTTTTTTTGTTTTTTTTTTCAATTCATCAAAAATAAAAAGAATTAAAGGGTAATTTAAGTTCCATTTTCGGGCTTCCAGAGGTATAAAGAATGAAAAAAATAAAAATTAAAAAAGAAAATAAAATAATAATAATAATAATAATAATAATTAAATAATAATAATAATAATAATGATAACGATACAAGATACAAGATAACGATAACGATTACGATAACAATAACAATAATAATAATTCTGGATTTATATAGTGGCTCACGTTGACACAACCTCGAGGCGCTTGAACATTATTACCCCCGAATCACATACGGAACACACACTCAGGCGCAGGCTGTGTTTAAACCTACCAGGTACGGTACCTACTTGTATTCCTGGGTGGAGAGAGACAACCGTAGATAAAGTTCCTTGCCCAAGGACACAAACGACTTGCACAGCGAGAGTTTCGAACCCCCGACCTCAAAGTTGGGAGTTCAAGCCACAACCGATGCGGCAACCACTTATCTAAATTCATAATAACGCAGCATGTTATGAGTAAACATGGGTGCAGGACCTGTCTCTTATACACATCTAGATGTGTATAAGAGACCGAGATAACGTACGGTACCATATTCCTACCACTACCATTAAATAATAAATATGTTTTGCTGTGACCCATGCTGTATTTAAGTTTTTTAATTGCACGGATGATACCTCAAAAACCAGCTCAAATTTGCAAGGAAAATCACAAGGAAAATAGAATTGTATTTCTGCATAATACATTGTTTATATTAAGATTAGTTCAAAGCCTAATAATTCGGCAAAATCTGTGCGGAAATCTGCTGTTTTCCGAAGTTAACTTGTGTAGCCATTGCGGTGGCTGCTGATTGCATAAAATTCACTTGTGTGTTGACAAGGCCTACATATTTTATATTAATGAAAATCATTTTATAATGTACCATCCAAGACTATAGAGATTCAAATTACTATACTGTACATTGATGATTTGTTTATTACAATTAATGAAACTACTTGCTTTTGTTATAGACGAATTAAACGGAGCCTACGCACTTTAGATGAAGGATCATGGGATTGTAGTGTGTGTACATACAAGAACAATCCTGAGGCATTTAAGTGTGAGATGTGCGATGTACGAAAAGGAACATCAACAAGGTGACATATTTTTTTTTCTTGTCTGATTGGCTATTAAATGTGGCAAAGACAAGCCAAACCAGTCACTCGTTGCAAAACACGATTTTTAGTTCTTAGTACAGGTTTAAAAAGTAAAACGAAAGCTATAAAATAGTAAAAGAATCATTTAAATCCAACATTTCTTTATAAAGTTACTTATGTTTGAACATACAGCTGTTTAAAGAACAATATTTTGAGAAATCAGCTTTTAAAGTTTATGATTTCGGGCACTTCTCAGGCAGAAACCAAATCGTTACAAATTGTTGATTTACATCGAAAATAGGGATGATAGATATATTGAAGTTATTTTAATGCAATAAAATAATAAAAAATGTTGACATTCCAGCATGTTTTGGTCATTATTCCTGAAACATGATTTGCGACGAGTGACTGGTATGGCTTGTATTTGCCACAAATACTTTTAATTATGTTTCAATGCTGCTCTGTACTCAAGGTCAATGCAATATCATAGCCTTATTTACATGCAGTTCGAAGTATGGAGTTTGCTACAAATACTGTAAGAGCCGAGAACCCTTTTAGTGTTACAACTTCGTTTGATTAGTAACATTACATATTTAGTATGAGCAATCTTATTTCACCCTAAGAACAAATTGTAGTACTGTACTTAAATACCAGTTAATACCATAGGTATTGTCAAGCCACTAGGGGCGCATAAGGCTGGAGTTTATCACCAGTTTCTGTAGTGTGAAGTGGATGAGAATGTAATACTCCCCTAGGTGGGACGCTGGTCCACCGCAGGTTGCTAATTGATACATCTGGGTTGACTGAAGCAATGTAGATATTATGTAAATATGTAAAATAATTAATGTAAAATCACTTTAAAGCAGCAATGGAGTGAAACCCTGACCTCAAGATTGGGAAACCAAACAAAAGCCAAACCAGCTTTTGCAGTTGTCATGGTAACACTTTTATTTTGTTAGTAATGTTACAAAAAATAGCCATGGATAAAAACTTCATGTCTTTAAAGAAAAGTTTTCTCAAATGGAATAATATCTTAAGTTAATGTGTCATATTTATTTGATTAATAGTGTAATGGCAAATAGACTTTTTGGAAACAAAAATCATGGTTAGTAACGTTACAGTTTGTCTTTAGAGGAGAAGGTTACCCATTTTATATAATTTGAGAACTGATTTAGCATACACCCAATTTTTGAAATTACTAATCCTGTGCGGGTTTGTTTACGTAGACACTCTTAACTGAATTTGTGAAGACGTCCCAGGTGCATTGTTCAGTCTAGGCTTAGCAACAGGCCAAAATGCATAGGATAGGAAGATGGTATGTACCTGGCATGTCACCAAATTTAATTTTGAGCGTAAAAATCAGTAAACTTCTCCTTTAAACCAATAATCCAATGTTTGGTTTGTAATTATTACAAGGTATCAAAGTTCAAATGATGTAGTCTGAATCCATTTTCAAAACATATTTTTGAGAAGCAAATCTGTAATGCGCTAAATTCGTATATAAAATTCCTTGGATAAACCAGTCCTTCATCCATGCTTTTGGTAGTTCAAAATTAGCATTGAAATTTTTCCATCAAAACACTGTTGACAGATTTTAACATACCGGTATATTTTTAAAATGAAACATGATTATTGTTTTTTCCATTTAGAAATGCTGTTTGTGCAAAGACTTTTGAAAGTCCACATTTTCTGCAGCACTCAATTATTAATTTAGACTCCAATCAACACTAAATTATCTGAGATTTCCATTTAAATAGAACAGCAATCATGAGTGAGAATGCATCGTTTTTCACCATGTATATTACATAAAGACTGTAAATGCTTTCAATCAAAATCTCTTCCTGATGGCGGGTGTATGCAGAAAGAACAGTTTACATAGGCTACGGTCACACTAGAGTCTCAAGCCTGGCTTGACTCACCGCGGGTGAAATCCAGGTGAGTTCACATCACGAAAATCTCACCCGCGGTGATTCAAGCCAGGCTTGAGACTCTAGTGTGACCGTAGCCACAATTTAACATACATAATCTGCTCTATCCAGGTGAGTGATGACATCGTCATTTGAGACTGTCGTCACTAGAACTTCTTTGGGTCGTCTGTGGATGTAAGTTTGTGGCCAACAGTTCTATGCACCAACAAGTCTGAAGGAGAGCTTTTCTTAGTACAAAAATATAAAATCTATATTTTTCCTGTTTTGACGCAGCAAACTTTCCTTTAACCACCATGGTCTGAATTCTCCTTATTGTTTCCTGCAGTACCAATTGATTTATATTTTATATATTTGATAAAGGTCCAGTTTCATTCAGCTGTCTTCAAAGCAGAAAATTGCTGCTTTCCTAAATCCATCTTTTACCAACCACCAATCCATCTTTTACCAACCATCAAGCTTGCGCTTGGTGGCTGGTAATCTGATCCCCAAGTAGCAGCGAGTACTGCAATGCTATTCCAATGGTGTTATGTTTCAGGAGAAATAATACAAATTGATATTGATATTACTATTTTTATTTAATTATTATTTTTTTATTAACATTATTGTATTTTACAGTATTATGGTAATTTTGGTTTATTTAAGAAATATGCTAAGGAATCTTTCACATAACTTTCTAATCTTTTTTTATTTTTTTGACTATTTGTTTTGCTGATGAGTGCTTGTGTATTCCAAACATTTATTGACATACATGAACTCCGTTCCTTCATAGTATGCCACTCACCAGCAATCTGTATACTCTTGTTTCAATGTATTTTCTTTTCCATTCAATTTTAATGTTTTTATATGTACTTATATATTTTATGGAGGGAATTAATATAATAATAATAATAATATGTTAACTAGAGTTAAAATTAAACTTTCTTTACTCCTTCAAATTTTTTGAAGAATTTGTTTTTTTCTTAATTCAGAAAGCCTCGATTGAACCCCCAGTTGGTTGCTCAACAGCAGGCACAACAAGCTTTAGCACAGCCACCACCAACTATCAAACAGACCACTAGGAAGGAGAACAGAAGGAGTACAGAAACAAAAAGAAATAGGTTAAACATCAATTATTAGGCTTGTTATCATCCTGGAGGTTCCAATATTAAGCATCTTGTTGTTGATTCCCATTCATTTTACACATACAGTACTTGAAAATTAAATGCAACACTAAACTAGACATCACCTACTAGACAGTATAGTGCCACGATGCTGATGTGCCAAGTACTGTAGTCAGTTATGTAGTCAGATGATAGATGTGTATAAGAGACAGAGGTACAACAGACCTGAGGATAGGTCGAAATATTGGTTTTCTCCAATAAAGTGTTTCTGAAGTCTATACATGGTATTCGTTTCCTATATTCTTTTCTTATATATATATATATATATATATACACATACATATATACATAGATATATACATACGTACATATGTATGTACGTACATACATAATGATAAGGTGAAAAATATGATAATTAGTGCTAATTTGTTACCATTTTCATTTCAGGCCAAGGTTAAAAAATGTGGACAGAACTTCGGCTATCACAACTGAAGTAACAGTTAATGATATTCCCGTTGTCATCACAGAATACAAGGAAAAGGTTCACTCAAGATCTTTGAATGCAGAATCCAGTAGTAGCCAGGCAAGCCTTGATAATACTAATAATCATGTATGAACCTTTACATGCAAGGAATTGTGGACTTAGAAGGAGCTTTGATAACGTATTTTGTGGTTGAACACGTATCTCCTTGCTGACAAATCATATTCTGGAATAAAAGGTGGTAATTTTTGGTGATAATTTACTAAGCCTTTATGACACTAATGCACATACTTTGTAATACAGGAATTTACTATTTAGACAGTGGTTGTAACTGCTGACAATTATAGTAGCAGTGCATTGAATGTGAAACAGTTGGAATAGTGTAAGTTCTATTTAAAGCTTTTGGAGTTGTTTTTGCATTTTGGTGTCAAAAACTATGTATATGCGAAGTGTTCCCATGGAAAAAAATGGACAAAATCACACGTTAACATTTGAAGAAAATCAATAATTAAGTTTGATAATTTTAGTGTATGATAATATCTGTCATCCGACAAAATTTCAACATCTGACAATTATAACTTGCAGTGTTGTTAATTTATATTGATCACTGAGCTATCAATCAAAATTGTAGAATTTTTTTTCACAAAAAATAGATTTTATGTACCGTGCAACCCCTCCTTTGGGACATCCCTATTAAGGGGACACCCTTATGAAGGGGACACATTATTCTGAAACAAAGGGAAATATCTTTTTTAATACTACGGCCAACACCTGTTAAGGGGACACTATTATAAGGGGATAGGAACACTCTATTAATGCAGTGGGGACAATTTTTGGGTGCTAAGTGGTTAGATCAACACATTTTCTACCCATAGTACTCGGCATGCTAGTCACTGGTAGCCAAATTTTCTATCAAAGAATGGCTAATAATAATAATAGTAATTAATATAATTAAGGGACACTATTTTTTTAGTGTATCACTAATTGTTTATTATCGTATCACCACAACTAAATAGACTCAAAATAACAATATTTCGTTAAAATTTATATTTTTGAGCCATAAATTTAACATCAAACTAGAATTTTATTCTTCATCCTTAAAATCATGGATATCAGAATAGGCACACTGTGTGTGTGTTACTTTGTATAATCTTGTTAATTTTTATCCTTATTAGGGGATTTACTAATTGTTTTCTCTCCTTTCTGTATACTTTCATATATACACAATATACTGTACCAAGGGTTCTCAACTGGTCCATGATATTAGGCCGGCAAGCAAAAGCCGAAAATAGGTACTGTATAATTATAGTAAAAGCTGCTAGGCATATTGCATCATTTCATGCTACAATACCAATGTTGTTTGGATGTGGGAATGGCCTCTAGACCCTAGCTCATTTTGCAACCTTGAATGTTCATGGACCTTCAATTAGAATCAATCTCCAAACTTGGACCCTGTTAAAATGTAGTTGAGAACCCCTGGTATACTGTAAATCCATACCATATCCTGCACCCTCTGATTAACGGAAGTCGTTACTCTATTCATGATGCTTCTACCTGTCACAGCACTTGAATCATGGAACAATATACAAATTTTGTTGTTTTACATTTACATCTATTTTATTTTCATATCATAAATGTACTGTATTTGCATTGCTAATAGTTACAAAGAAGTTTAACTGCTGTATTTGTAACTCAATCTTAGATAAATTTAAATAAAATTATAAAGAAGCATTCTACTGTATGTCATCCTTGTATGACTATGTACTGAAACCCCTATTAAAAAGACAGTTTCACATTTTTGATAGTGCCCTATTCAGCGATAACCCTTATTAAGTGGATGCTTTTCTTGGTTCCAAATGTGTCCCCTTATAAGGGATTGTTCTGCATATTTGCTGGCCAAAACAAGTTATTATTGCTGCGAAGCAGCCAATTCATATTCTTGACAGCAATTTGACCTCTGAAATGTCATTGTTTGTCAAAAAACAAGTGCCTAAGACAACTGAAAAGCGGAGTTTCCTTCTTTCGTTCTGCCGGGTAAAATCAATTAATTTAGCCGACGTTTGTAGACTAACCTACTCGTACCAACGTCCGCATGTCGCGCTAGCACTCTAGGCCTAGACTAGCTAGGATGGTATACGCCTAGCCTTGAAGGGACGAAGGTCCCAATGAAAAACAACGTCGCTTTTTGATAGCTAACATTGTCTATTTAACATCACAATAATTCATTATTAGACCTATAGTTGTTTTTTGAATTGTACTCCACAAATCTCAACCGATACCTCGCACAACTGGTAAACGTCTCTATCTATTGTCGTGACGTCATGGCTCGCTGGCTCACACTTGCGATGTCTCACACTTGTGATCAAATAACACGCTGGCTCGGACTTTGGCAACACTCTTTGGCAGTCAACTCGCCCCTAGAAAACCCCGCCCT